AGGTCTGCCACACAGACGGAGCCAGACCCCCCGGTCCTGACTCACCTTGGGGGTCAGCATCCCCCGAGCCGTGCTCAGCACCTCCTGGGCCGTGGTGAGCCTGTCCTCCTGGGGCGGCCGCGGCAGCTCTGCCGGGCTGATGTCCGGCACTTCGTCCACGTTGAAGCGGGGATGCCAGCGGGTCAGCTTCTCCTCCGGCACCACCATGGGAGGGCTGAGGGCGGCCAGGAACGCCTGGAGAGGGGGGAGAGCTGCGTCACGGCACCTGCGGGCCAGGTACAGGGGAGCTGGCCGTTGCCAGCACGGCTTGGCAACACACGGCAGCTGGCTTGGAGGCAATTCAGACCCAGGAAAGATTCCAGCTGCCATCCTCCCCACCCACACCTGCCTGCCAAGAGCATCCCACAGGAACCAGCGACGTCCTCCAGCCTGGATGCCAGCCCGCTCCTTTCCACCCGCTTCTCTAGAGAGTGACCAGAGCAACCCCAGACCCCAAAAGCGGAGGGTGCTGGGGGGGCCCCCTCACCTTGTGGTGCTGCTTGACGATGTTCACCAGGTTGCGGTTGAACTCCTTCCTGCGTTCCAGCAAGCGCGACGCCGACAAGTGCGGGCGACCGTCCACTTTCTCCTCTGCCAGGAGAGACACGAGCATCACCCGTGGCATCTTGGCAAAGCGCGGCAACGCCGCGACGGGGCCCAAACCTCAAGAGCCTCGGGAAGGAGAGGATCAGAGCCCCGCCGCGGGGCTGAGTCGCTGCCAGAATCGCTGCCCTATCATCCTCCCACTTGCCCCAAAAGTGTTTTTTTCCCCACTTCCAACACGCTCAGGCCCTCATGCGTCAGATGATTATCTAATGGACCAAACAGAGAGCATCCCTGGGGATTCAGGGATCCCAGCCAGGACCGAGCGCGCCCCAGCTCGTGCCCCCGCCCCGAGCCGTACGTACCTTCCCCCAGCACCGGCTCCAGCGTGAGCTGGTAGTCAGACTTCTTCATGCCGTTGCCGAAGGCGGGGATGTTCTTCTCCTGGCGCAGCCTGTACGAGGCTGGGTATACCGCCTTGATCTGCCCCACGTGCCGCTCCTCAAACTGCCTGCAACAGCACCCCGGGAGAGGTCAGGAACCCCAAGGGCTGACACCAGGGCACTGGCCCCGACAGCTTCAGCTGGGACCCTGAAATGGGCTGCCCGCTGCTGCCAACTTACTTGCGCATCATGTCCTGCACCCCCTGCTTGACCTTCGCGAAGGTGATGGTCTCGGCACGGTTGAAGAGCATCCCGGCAATGGTGTCCACGCTGCGGAACATCTCCGCCAGCACCTTGAACTTGTAGGGCAGCGTGAGCCCCGGAGGCAGGTCCTGCGCGAGGGTGTGGAACCGCTGGTACGCGGGGGGCTTCTCACTGCTGGGAAAGGAGAGGGGTCAGGGTTCCCCAGCACACAACAGCCACCGGGCACGGTGAACGCGGCGCTGGGACGGCCCCGAGGGTGCAGCTGGGGACCGAGACCGGCCAGGACGGGGGTCCCGCTTGCCGACAGGGCTGACCTCAGAGCCTAGGAGCTGCGTGCCCACCCCGGTTAGGGGAGACCCCTCTCCTACCCCCATCCCCAAACCCTTCTCTGAGCAACCTGTGCCAGTACCTGGGTCCCATCACCCATCCTGGGGACGTGGATGCCCCGACGCTCATGGCAGAGTCAGGGTGGCCTGGACCACGCTTGAGCGCTTCAGAGAAGCCCTTTGCATGCAGTGGGGCCAGTCCAGCGCTCCTGCAGAGCCCCCACACCCCCCTCACGGGGGTGGGAAGACCCCTGCAAAACTGCTACGGGGCTGAGCAGCAGAAGAGGGCTGCGGCAGTCACCGGGACACCCCGATTTCCCCTCCAATCTGGGGCTGCATCCCCGAAGCCGCTCCTCACCCGGCCTCCGCTGCAGGAGCTGCCACCCCGGTGTCCCCGGATGGCCGCGCTCCCAGCGTGGCTCCGCTTCCCGCTTTCTTCTCACGGATCCGCAGCTCCAGTTGCCGCACTCGCTCCAGACGGCTCCGCAGGTTGGGGCTGGCCCCGGCGGGGACGGGTGGCAGCTGGGCCAGCTGGGCCCGCGCCTTCACCCTCCGCAGGCCGGACCGCCGCC